AAACGGAAAGGTCATTAGCCTGAGAGAAAAAAAATGTTCTCAAATAAATCGTATTTGAAGCAAAAAAACCCGCTAGTTAAAAATTACCATGAGTCTAATTTTCTTTCCGGAATATTTGAAGAGTGAAGCTAGAATCTTAATTTTTTCATTCATCAATTGCTACGATTGTACTAGGTTATGAATTCTCTTCGATGAAATGACGAATAAGTTATTCCGATGATGGATGTATAATATATGTTGATACGATGAAAAATTAAGTGAAAGAATATTCACCGGCGACACTCGGCTGTTTTCTTGATACCGTCAATGTCCTAGTTAATGCGATTAGAAGCTCTCTTTCTTTAATGAGCATCAAATGATTATATTTTCTGAATTGACATTTTCCCAAATGAATGATAAAATAAATTAATATTTGAAAATAGGAAACCTCCGTCATGTGCTAGTTTTTACCACTTGGTAAGATCATTTTTACGTTATTGCCACCCTTCGGTGCCAGTTAACCCTATAAGGTGAATTTCAATAGCCCAACTCGAGCGTCCTACTACGCTTTACGACGCTTTTCACCTTAGAGGGTTAAAGTTGTATAAATAAACTGCAGTATTTTTTACAGATTGGTGCAGACGACACTATAAATTCAGTCATTTTCAGTCATCAAATTTGTCAATCAAACTGCATGAGAAAAACCTGAAAAAAATGAAGGATATTCAGCTTCATTTAAATTACATTTTGCACAGGATAGTTATTTTTTTAAACATTCGTTTTTTGTAAAGAAATAACGAAAATTGTTGAAACTTTCGGAAACCTAATTTTTTTAAGCATGGAATTGATTTCTGATAAAAATCTGATTATGAATAAATTTATTGCGATTCCAAACAAATGATTTTTATGGCGGAAAATTGATTGTTTACAAATGATGTACAAAAAATGCTGGTCATTTTCCAAAATTGCAATTTTTCAATTATTTTATCAATTTTCCTCCAAAAGTAAACTTTCTGTTTTTTTTCAGATTTTTAAAATGTTTTCTAACGGTTTAATATTGAGATTCAAATTCAGACCTGCAAAGTTTAAATAATAACATCATTGTAAGATGTCCGGGAACTTACACTGAGAGAAAAACAGCAGAGTCAAACAAGTTTTACTGATGCCAAAAAAATCGTTCGTTAAAAATTATCAAAAAGAATTTTGTGTGCCAAACATGCGAATCGTGCGCCAAAATTAAAAATTTTTAGTGCAAAAATAGATTTAGTCTTTTCAAAAAAAATTTATTATCTTCATTTAAGCACTACTTCTTCATTATTCGATGCTCGTATTTTGCTCCATACGTATTTTGCTCCCGGCAAATGCTCGTTTTATATGAAACGAGAGATAGGAGTTTGTCGTTTCGGCTATTCAATAATCACAGACAAAAAATGAATTCTTAAATGAAATAGTAATAATGATATGACAGCATTGCTGTAACTTAGGGACAAAATATTCTTCGATAGACATTCCACTATAAAAGATGTTTTTATCCAGAAAAACGTACCGTCGTGTATGAATGATCGGCCTCTTGAGCCAAATATTTCGTTGTTGTTGAAAGCAGAGCAATTATTAATGATTGAGGCTTTCAAATTCTCGAACTAAATAATAATTTTTTTGATAATTTTCAACTAACGATTTTGTTGGCTCAAACAAGACTTGTTTGAGAACTTATTCGTTTTTCTCTCAGTGTAGGGTCGAATGGGGCTCAAATGAAAGCTCTGATGTTCGACTACAAAAGTATAAAAACATTTCACTGAAGAAAAAATAGCAAAAGTACTCGAATATACTTAAGTCGTTGAGTGTAACGAGAAAAAATCAATCCAAAAAGCTCAAAGCAAATTATTCATCATTGATAATTTTTCCGATGAAGTCTAACTTTTATGAGTGTAAGAAATTCATCCATCCATCTAATTCTTTCTTAAACTATTTTTTTAAGCAATATGATCACCTTATCAGATTGCAATGAGTACTCAATTATAGAAAATGTTTTTCAGAATTTCGATGCAGAGTGAAACACAAAAAAATACAACTAACTGGAAGAAGTAATTTTAGTCTTGGAATGTAGAATCGATTACTAAAATGCTGAATCACCCGGAAAATGCATCCCATATATTTTGTTTCAAAACGTTATTAAACGAATGTATAATGACTTCATTCCGTATCGGAATTTTTATGATTATCAATCATGAGCTGATGGAATGATCACCGTGTTTGTGACTAAAAATCGATTATTACGAAGACAAATGAGGGGCACCATTACTTTCTCCATCAGTCCATTTTTTCTTTTTTAATATTCGTATGTCTGTCATCAGTTTACTAACCCTTTATTTTATCGAAGAATATGTAATCTAGCACATACTAGCAAATCTTGACAAAAGAAATCCAGTTCTCGATTCTTGAAATGTTCCGCATAAAAAATTTGATTCTTGGCAATGATTACATCCGAATTTTTTGCTTCGTGTGTAAGGCTGTTTCAGAATATTTTTTTCTATCTGTATAGAGGACGATGTATTAAGCGATGATCCTAATGAGTGTGCAAATGAATCCATACATTTAAAGAATATATTCATCACGGTTGATCAGTGCCCCCTGTACCTTGATTAATCTGCAAATATTTAAACTGTAATGAGGAAAACGTATGTTAACATTGAGGATAAACCTTCGCATAGCAACACCCAGGTTTTTACCTGTTCTGTTGAAATCAAAGTGTTATGTAAAATTCAACATTTTGCCGTTACTATTACATTGAGCAAAAAATCATTTCGACCAAATAAATAATGATTTGAGAGAACTATCTCATTTTTCAAAGATGCAATGCTCCAAGTCAGTTATTGCCAAGTTCTCGAAATTAGGTTCCGGGCGTTTCATTGATAATCCATCATTGAAGGATCACACATTGCATATGGCCTTGAATTAATTTCCAAAACTTTTATTCACTTTTGAGATTTTCTTAAGGGGAGATTACTATGAGTTTCAAAAGTCACGGGCTATTGGAGTGATTTTTTCATACATTAAAGATCGATTATGAATATCTAAAAACGAATAATTAGTACAGAAAAAATTGTTTATTGTTCGTTTCTCCCGTAGATACTTAAAATATTAAAAATAGTCCACGGCCTCCAATTTTTGAGCTACAGAGGTTTTTTTTTAATTAAAAAAAAATCGTATGCAATAACAATTACGAGCTAGTTTTTTTGAAATTCAACGTCTGTGAAGCTAATATCATTTTTTTTAATATAAAAAATTGCACCATTCATGTAAAATAACCAGAAAAATATTTCTGAAAGAATCAAAAATATATTTTAAATATTTTGAGGATCATTTTTCTGGCCATTCTACATGAATGGTGCAATTTTTTTAATTAAAAAACAAACAAAGTTAGCTGTATAGGAGTCGAATTTCAGGAAACTAACTCGTAATGGCTAGTGTACACTTTTTTCAAAAGGTTAAAAAAAAACTCTGTAACTCAAAAATTGGAGGCCCCGGACTATTTTTAACACTTCAAGCTTGAGTAAAACGCATACTTGGGTTTGTTCAATGGAGTATAACGAACATTGAAAAAAAAGTTGAATTCGAATAAAAACTGTGGTGTAAGAAGGATTTTTAAGGTAAAAACTTCAAAAATGACGGTTTTGGTGGATATGCAGGACAAAACCAATCGGTTTTACGATGGTTCTTACTTTTCAATATATCCCCTCATATACCAAAAGTCGTCCAATGGCTCTTCAGGCCGAGCGAAGACTTAAATTTCACCGCAGTCTCTGTAAGTGCGTGAAACCCTTTGGCAAAATATTTCCAGGACACTCATTCTATCTCATTCCTCATACTTCTCTAATCAAGCGATGCGATTTTTGTAATCTCAGGGTCCAGCTTACCTCGCTGTTTATTTTTGGTTTATTGTTCAGTACACCCCGCTTTCTGCTTTACCCCACTGTCCATTTCGACGCCGCTCTCCCCTACTCTTCTCAAATAAGTATTTATTTGACAGATGTGATTCTCTTACTCAGTGTACTCTGGTTCATTAGGTCGTAGATAACTACCGTCATCATCAAATACACTCTACTCAGTATCAAATCACTAATCTGTCTTTAACAACCCAAATTTATCCATATTACTGCATTTAGAACGTATGTATACGTATTTAGTACGTATGCATTTACGACTTAACCTTGCCATAAATAAAGAAATGCGATATGTGATCCAGAAGAATGTGTAACGAAAGCAAGAAAAATTCCAGCCATTTCTGTAGTAAAATACGCAAAAGCCGGATAATTTCGCAAATGAGAAATTTCCCAGTTATCTGTATGATGAACATTCAACATTCTTGCACGTGTATCATACTCGTCTTGATTTTCACTCTTTTCATACTTCGGTCTCTCTCAATTCTACGTACATATCCACCTGGTTTGCCCCCCCCCCCCCTCTCTCTCTCTCACCCCATTTTTGCAGTCATATGCAAGTTTTCCCGCCAGCGTAAGCTCTCCACGCGCGTCGACAGACCTCTATCAGCTTCGATAAGCTAATCGGCGGTATGTGACTAAGAAAGGAGTATGACTCCCTCCACTCGATTATTCGTAATTTCATCCTCTCTCTCATGGCATTCCCCAGCCTTATCAATTTCTCTCTTTACCCGGGGTTCCATAATATCCATTGGTCGACACAAACGAGTTATCGTGCTCGCTGGACGAAAAAAAAAAAATACAAAGAGAAATGTAAACGGGAGAAGCGATAATGGTAATGGTCTTGCACGTTAGCTTTTACAGTTGGACTTTAAATAAAGGAAAACAGAGGTGCAGTGTCATCGAGGGGGCAATAATACTGTGGGGAGGCTGTGGTATCAATTGGCAATGCGTGGACACATATGTGTTCGCTATAAACTTCGTTACTGGCTAGCACAGGCTAGGCTTGACAGGCAAAAAGGGACCCTGAGTCTTAGCAGATATATAGATGTATAACATAGAGAATGTATCGCGTTCCAGGTCACCCGATTACACGAAAGGCATCTTTCAGTCGATTGGCTTCAAGGAGTTTCACAATTACCTGATTCTGCCTGAGGACGAGAGGAATAGTGAAAAGGTATGCTTGTATCAGGTTTTACCTGATAAATCTCAGTTTGTTTTACAATCATTCCTTGATTTTTATAACTATAAACATTATTCCATTGAATCTGTTACGATACGAGAAAACACACATGATAGTATCGTTTGGCGTGTGATTCATTGGTTTTATTCGATAAAGCTTTGAGAAGTGTTGACATTGCTGAGGCTTTGAAAAAGAAATACAAAAAGTGTGGAAATCATATCTGCAATTCGATTGTCAATGATGGAAGTCGCGAAGCAATTGTGCAAGTGGTTGACGTTATGATATACACTAATAGACATTTTAATTTGTGGCAACTTCGTTGATAACTGGTCCCCGTTTTTTTCAAGTTTACGAGTCACGATGCACAGCAACGTGCCTTCAATAATGTCTCGTTGGGATTTTCCCACGTGTGAAGTCCGATATCACTTTGGTGCACGCTAGTATGACGCGTCAAATCTTTATGAGTAATGCGCGGTTTTTTTT